GATACGGGCTCAGCCCCCCTACCCGGCGCGGCAAGTTTTAGCCCCGGAGGATGAAACCCGCACCTGACGGCTCTGCCCGGTGCGCCTGTGGAAGGCGGTGAGAGCAGGATGCGCGCCCTGATGCACGCTGCAGATAAAGCCGTTCCAGAGTCCTACAGGTCTGCTAAAGAGGCAACGACCCCACTCTGTCCCTCACACAGGCCTTGATTAGCCCATACAGCCATTTATTAAAAATAATATTCGGCTATCGGGTCATCCACAAAAATCACACACAGCACAAACCTGCAGGTTTCCCAGCAAGCTAGCCGATAGCCTTCTACCCTAATAGGGAAAAATGCCTATTCACTCATTTTTAGGTTGTACCATACAGCACTTAACAGTCTTAAAAGTTGCAGCGTATGCATTAATAATTTAGGAAAAAAAAAAAATCTTCTGCCACTTAACTGTGGTGCGTTTCTCAACAAATGTTACGCTCTCACGTGTTGTGGAACACGGTCACTGCAGCCACAGCCAGTCCAAGTGATCCTCTCTACCAGTAACAGTTTAGGAGGAGACCCAAGGCTGAATTTAACTACCACAAAGCGCTGCCACAAGAAACAGCCGACCTCTAAACACGCCATTTTCTAGACCTGCAGGCACTACGTAACTTAAAGGCACAAAAATAAAGTCAAAAGCCTCTTTGGTTCTCTATAGCAAACTTAGAGAAGTCATACACATGTCACAGGTGCTGCTTCCAGAGAAGCAGGAAAGGCAGGAGGCACGGAATAATCATCTTAAAGCTAAATTTAGCATTTGCGTATCTGCATCATCCTTCTTAGTTTATTTATGTTGTCCTAGCCTACTATTCTTTCATTCAATAATTCCAGCAGAGTAGTACAAACTAATCCTATTCACGAGAGAGGTCACATTTAAGAATACGAGTTCCTCATCGCCGCTTATTCGGGTACCACATAGAATGCACGTCCTGCAAGGGCACAGCTCTCACCTCACCCTTAGGGTACACAATAGCACTTAACAGGTTGAAAATTAAAGGAAGTTTAAAAAAAAAAAAAGAAACAACCAAAAAACCCCACACAAACCCTTGCCCATATAGACTTGCAAATTTAGTAGCAAGTAAATGAGAAGCAACACATTAAAACTCGCATCAGGCTTCAGCTTCCCACCTCCTGACAGACAAACACCAGTAGCCATACATTGCACGTACACTTTGACCAACTGCTTTCTTTGCAGAGGTTACTCACTACAACGATGGTACTCATTGTTTTCGGCGATCAAGTGAGCCATTTACCAAAAGCACATCATCCGTGCTGGAATCTCTATCAGCTCCTGTCCTAGACTTGATCTAAATTAATGTTTTATGAAGGGTTGGGCTTGAAAATCAGTAATGTCTCAAATGACTCCTCGTCACAGCAGTTACTAGGGATGCTAGAACTAACAAAATTCCAGCTGGAACACAAGCTTGGGGGCAATCTCCTGAAGCTCCTAATCAGAAAAAGGGCAGATTAGGTGTAAAAAGGGAGAAGTCCTGTCTCTGCTAATTAGGTCCTTATAAAATAACTCACTTAAGATAGCAAACCCACATGCCTGAACAGACATACCCTTGAAATGCCTGCTTCGCTGTCGCAGGATAGCCAGCAGACATTTGTATGTATTTTCATTTGCACACATAAAAATAAAGTCATGGGTGCATTCCAGGACTACTGTTAGTGCTGCCATAATGATGGATAATTATTAAAACACCATCATTCCACTTATTGCAGAAAAATTATATGATTCTCAGACTAAATTAACAATAAATAACATTCCGTTTAGTCTATATTAGTGTATCTTCATGAAGAAGAGAACAGATACTGTTCTAAATCCAATTCCCACTAAACTCATTAACCATCTTCCATTAACTTCAGTGGGCTTTTAGCAAATTCTTTCGTTTATTTTTAGATGCCTACAAGCTGAGTTGTGATTCAACAGAAAGCTGTCAGCTGCGTAAGTAGGGCTGCATATTAATATGCATGCTCTGCTTTGCCCACCCTATAAAAAAAACAAACCGTAAGTGTCCCTTTATGGCTGAGAAAGCTCTGAGCTCTCAGCTCATCTAGGAAAAAAAAAAACCAACCAAAAAAAACGCCAAAACCCAACCCACCATGATGTACTACTTTCATCCCCAAAACTGGGGTGGGGGAAACACCACTAATCTCCAATGTTCTCGCCTCAACACCCCATCATCTGCGTCACAGGGACAGAGGCTGAACTCCATATTTACAAGCTGGGGTTTTGCTATTGCTTTTTATTAAATATATATAAATAAAACAATCTACAGAAGTTTGAAGGAAATTAATCCTCCAAACTCTTTCTCCTTGTTTGCTGATTGCTTTGTCTCCCCCTCCTGCCTCTTCCACCCTGACATTCAACGTGCACTTCACTCAGATTACCTTGTTTTGATCCACTCACTCTCCCTTACAGCCCTAGAAGGGAGTCAAGAGGACTACCGTGTTACTCAAAACCTTCTCAGCATCTCTTTTAACACCTCTTTAATAGATACTTCATGAGATTAGACTCCTGCAAAAGCTTACAATTTTACATTCTTGGGAGCAGAGGTGAGAAAGGTTGCAGAATTCCTCATTTTGCTAAAACCACGCTTGGTCTGCACTGGGGTGGACCAATTCACATCCCCGGTAACCCCGGACACACCACAAGGGATCACACACTTTGGAAGCCTCTATGTCTATGGATCACCCCAGGTGTTTTCAGACTGCATGAAGTAATAGAAAAAGACTCGAGATGGCTTATTGAGAAAGGAGCAGGGCAGAACACAATATGCTGCTAAACAAGGAGCACACCAGCATCTTTGATCCTCAAATAAATTAACTGCTCAAGTTGAAATATATACGCTAGCGAAAGACTTTTTAGCATGCTTCACCTTTTGTAGTGTTTCAGTTCTCAAACACTGTTTCTCCCACTAAATAATTTCCTCTTGTCTCAATTTAATCATGCTAAGCACTTGAAAAAAGTGCTTTTCATCTTCAGCACATAATGAGGTAAGCTGCAGCAGAGAACCGTTTTGTCTCTGTGCAAGTCTGGTTTGGCATATTTCTGCGTGCATGTTAAAAAATTCTTTCACTTAAAAAAATTTCTTTCAAGTACCTTGTCAATGTATGCTCCCTTTAGATGCCAACATTAGAAGCGGTAGACACGCATCTCCTGAAGTTGAAATAAATCTCGCCTTTTGACTATGTTGCAAAGAGAGCACACCAGAAATCGTATTAGAAAACAGCAATTTCTGTCACAGCGCACTTTCATCCTACACTGTAGACAGGCTCAGATCCTATGGATTTCAACCACAATTTTCAACTACAAAATAAAAGTACTGAAAAGGTTAAAAAAACCCCAACTATTAATTACTCAAGACTACAGTAATTAGATTCTACATGACATCTGACTTTATGTTTCACTTGGCATCTATAAATGGTCAATAAATGACAATGTACTGTTCTGCCTTAAAATTCATAAATCCAAAGCTATTTTGTGTATTGGCAGCAAACCCACCCACCCAGTATCAAAATTAAGCAGAATTGCTCCAAGCTAATAACCTAAAGAGGAAACTGGCTGCAGTTGACATCAAGGCCTAAAGGATTATTTATTTCAGGAGGCCATGATTTTTTACTTCATCTCAGTAAAGCTACAAGATAGGATGGAGAGGCTGCCCAATTAATTTTTTTCCCCCCACAGTAAGTAATAATTATTTTTTTTAACAGACTAAGGACCCCCCCCAAAGAAAAAATAAATCACATTCAGATAGTCTAAGATCACAGAATCTTAGCCAACTTCCCTTTCCAGCCCCAAACTTGTAGCCAGGATCTTGATTTAAAGAAACCCAGCCATTGAGAACTTACTGCTCAGCTCCAAAAGCTAACACGTATTTTATTTCTAGTTTGAATTCTGCAGATTTCAATTTACATACCTCTGCTAAATCAAAGAACCTCTTGATACCAGATATTACTCTATCAGTTTTCCTAAATGTGTGCTTTTCCTCCCCCATAGTAAAGTTATTTGCATCTATAAGTTGGTTTGCTAGGAATTGAGTTTTAGCTCCACGAAAAACAGATAAAAGGGAAAGCTATGCAAGATGCTAGTGAAATGAAGTACTATATTTGTAAATCTATTATTTTTTGCCCAGATGTGCAAGCATAACTAAATAAATATTCAGCGGAAAGAACACATACACCCTACTGGGGTTCTGGAAATAACCTGACAGTATCTCTAATCGCAACGCATACACAGAAGTATCACGCTGTGCGCTCGGCGCAGGAGACAGAAGGCTGCATTTAAAAGCAAGAAGATAACCATGTAAGATCAAAAGACAAACAAGGAGCGGTTCTCACTGGCTCCTCTGAGGATATCCTCTTTCTCTTTTACAGGCAACTAATTGCTAAGTCAAGCCCAGTTGTTTTTAATGAGAATTATAATGATTCTACCAATTTTAATGCTGACAAAATAAAACGTAAGGTCTGTATCAAGTACCTGGATATAGACAAACACAGAGATAATCCACTCTTTACTGGTCAGAGATAACTCTGCAAGGAAATATGAGCCACCTTAAAGCAATTTTGATGCTTGGAGAGGGACGTGTGGCATCCCCTTCCCCGAGACCCTCCATAGATGACCATCTAGCAATGCGGTTGGGATGAAGGACCCTCTTCTGTGTACATTCCATTGAGTTTCAAAGTCTCCTCACAGAGTCAAGTGAAGTCTATCATAACTCAAAACCTGAAATTACATTCAGATGATACACCACCTAAATTTAAAGAGTTACACATTTGCAGTAACATCTACTTTGGGAACGACAGGCTTTCCCAATTTCGTATCCAAGCTTAAAATGAGTAAATGCAAAATATTTAGCTTCATTAAAAGTGAAAGTCCTCCTCAGTATCCCATAAACTGCCCTTGACCAAGGACTGCAAGCGGAAAAAGATCCACCAACCGTGTTAGCATCCTCAAAGTTTTAAGTGAGACATCTGAGCCAGGAATTGATTTTCTTTCCTCCAGAAAGCTGCGCGCAACGTCACTCTGCATGCTGTCACTGTCCCCAGGATGGAAGGGGAGAAAAAACATTTAGTGCCATAAAGCAGCGTATGTAGAAGAGTGATAAAATGTTACAATCTCGACGTTTTACTACCAAAGCATGGAGCTGAAATTCATTTTCCCTGTCGGTGAAATTTGGTTTAAATAATTTTAGATTTAACTCATAAAAAGAGCATTCAATTCTGCGGTCCTATGCGTAGCTTTCATGTGCAATACTTTTCTCAAAGCCAAGGAGAACACCTTGAAGTAAACCCCACTTACACTAGCATTTAATCCCACTTGTTCTAACTGTACAACAACAGATTTTTCAATCATGTACTCCAATATTAAATGAAGAGGGGAGGAAAGAGTCACTTGAACATTTCGAGTTACACCTAATGTAACAAAAGAAACACAGCAAATATAGGAAGTGGCTTGGCACAGTGACACGACGACAAGCATTTGGAAAGCTGAAGTTCTCTATATTAAACAGCATCTCTGACCCAGGGGGTCAACAGCCCTGGGGGTGGCTGACAGTGGCTGACACCCACCCACCCCACCCTACCTTGATAGCACACAATGGGATTTAGTCATCAAATTAAAAACCAGCCAATTTAACCTGTAACTGAGAAGGGTCATCTTTTCTTATTTTTTAAAATCTTAATATCTTCTATTTCCCTAAGGCCGCAGAAAAGTCACACCATGTCACATGAAATGGGAATACTACGTCTTACTGACTGCTGCTAATTGGGGGTGGGGGGTGGGGTGAAGAACATTAAGTCCCTCCATTTCCCTTGTCCCCAGCCCCCTATAAAGCCTCTGCACTTTTTTTTTAACCGCTTAATCCCTTCCTTCCTCTTTTCCCACATCCTTCCCTTTTTTCTAATCGTTCCCCTTGAAACTATATTGAAAATCTTGGATCAGCTAATAATTTAGTCATGCTTATTAAGAAATTATTCATGTGGCATAACAGCTGGCCTACACTTCTCACTGAATATAGTTTTCCCTTTGATGGCCACTTTTCCATTCTATACTTGAAATTAAGCCTGTATTTCCCACAAAAGTATAATCACACTAGAAGCCAACTCAAAGTTGCTAAAAACAAAGCCAAACCCCCTGCAATTAACCAGCATTGTCCTCTGGTCTTCAGGAAGTTTGGAATGAAGTTCCCTATTCCACCTTCTATGCAAATTGTTAAAAACACAGTCAATGATGATTGACTGACTACTTAAAGGGGGGCTACAGGAAAGGTAGAGAGGGAATCTATCAGGGAGTGTAGCCATAGGATGAGGAGTAACAGTTTTAAACTGAAAGAGGGGAGATTTAGACTAAATATTAGGAAAAAAATCTTTACTGTAAAGGTGATGAAGCACTGGAACAGGTTGCTCAGAGAAGTTGTGGATGCCCCATCCCTGGAGGTGTTTAAGGCCAGGCTGGACGGGGCTTTGAGCAACCTGGTCTAGTGGGAGGTGTCCCTACCCACGGCAGGGGGCTTGGAACTAAATCTTTAAGGTCCCTTCCAACCCAAACCAAACTATGATTCTATGATCAAAGGAGAAAAGTACTGAAACAAAACATAAGGTAAGACCCGCAGTGTGGGAACGGAGAACCCAGGAGGAGGAATTCAATCTGCTGTGAACAAGGGTGAAGGTCCACCAACTGCTCAGCTTTTGACATGGCAGATCACTCATTACCACCCAGTTGTGCAGAACCATTTTTAAGGCCATTCTGTTAAATAATGATAACCCCCCAACACGGCAACTCAGTTACACATGTAGTAGAATACAGACAATAAGTTGAGAGTTCAATGCCACTCTTCTTTCCCAGCAAATGTGCTACGACAACAGACCCCTACCCAGTTGTCCATTTACACTCCTACACTTTCAGTCTCTTTGCAATTACTGGCAAATGCCTTCAAAGGTATTAGCAGTATCAATGAACAAGCCGGTGAATGACATTCAGATTAACTCCCCTGGCTCTAACGCGTGTATATTACACAAATCTGTAATAACCTATTTTCTCATTTCTGACTGGTCAAAACACTCTACTTCAGTTGCGCCTCAACCCACAGTTTATCATCTTTTGCTGATGTCCTAAAAAAATTTAGAGAAAATTCAAGTTCCATCCAAAAAAGAGTGCATTTTAACAGAATGAATTCACTCTAATGCATTTAAAGGTATTTTTATACCTGAATGGAAACTTTCATTTATAGAAATCAAAGCCCATGTACCTCCATCCATTCAGGAAGCGTGGGGTGAATTTCCAGAAACACACAAGAGCCGATTTACCAGATTTACGGCACAGTGCAGCGTATCCCAGTCTCGCTTCCCTTTATCAGCCACCAAACCAAGCATTTGCTGGATGATTTCCTGCCCAGTCTGTGCTTCCCCCCCCCCTCTTTCAGTGGAAACAAGGATATGAGAGGAATCTGATATATGCCTGTGCTGCAACTTAGCACAGCGTTGAAAAACAGGTACAGCTAGACCCTGGAGCGGGAAAGTACTCCCAGGCTGCTTAATCCAGGCATAGCTTCAGTGACTTAAGAGACACAAATCCTGCTGACTCACAATCACAGAAATCCCAACAGAGTATCTCCATGCAAAAAGCATTTACGCTCTCCTTGCTGAAGAAAGAAATTGTAAAGCAATACTGATTTGAAATAGAATGCAAGATACTTGGGGAAGCATGTAAGACTATGGAATGAGGTGTACTTAAAAATGACTTAAAAAATACCTGAAGACAGATAAATGGATATTTTAATCTGACCTGATTGTGCCTTATGGCTTTAGAGACGTATTACCCACTTTAGCACAACACCTCGTTCCTGTAATCCTGCCACACTGCAAACCAAAGAGAACAGTCAGAAAAGATGTGCCAGCTCAGCACATTTTGAACACTTCCCTGGAGTACCTTCTAAGCCAGAGACTGCAAACGGCTGGCATAGGTCCATGTCACCTACAGAAAGCCTCTATATCCTGAAGTCCTGGTTTTCTTCAAGTGGGATTCAGCCTTTCTACTGCTCCTCTAAAGGAACCCCAGACAGCAGAAAGCTCTCATTTTTCACAGGACTCCATCTTCTAGCTTAACCTCGAGACTATCAGATCAATGGTGGCCATGCAGGAAAAACACCACTGACATTTAGCCACCCTTGAGACAAACATTCTGCAAACAGCAGAAGATATACTCTTAATCTTTTAATACACAACTTGCAAAGGAAAGATTACAGCATATTATTTCATACCTATTCAATATCTGGGTAATCGTATTGATGCAGAGTTGGCTAAATTTGAGTGGCATCCTGTTTACAAAGTAGTCCTGTCCACTCCCTAAGACTGCTGATGCCTGTTTTCTGGTGGATATCCACATAAAATATGTTTCATTAGCTGTTCCAAGCATCTTTTGTACAAAACAAGGTCTGAGCTCACGTATATACTGTGTCAGGCACCTAACACTTCTTGAAAACAATTACCTCATCCTCCAGAAACCACTGTCATTAAGATGACACCTTGAACCTTTGTGGCTTAAAAAAACCAAACCTCAAAACAAAACAAAACCCCTACAAAAACAAACCCCGACCAATTCCAGTATCAGAAGTCTGAGATGAGTAACCCACTTAGTAACGCATGGGAGTCCAAAACAGCTCCCAGGTGCATTTCCTCATTCTTATGCAGGGTGTTAGCCCAGATGCCCAGTGGCCACCCTTCTATAGCATCCACACGGTTAGCTGCCACACTGCTCTTAAGTTATAGGAAGGAGAGAAAAATTCATGCTGCAAGACAGGATTTAAAGTCCCCCTCTTCCAGCTTCACCAGTAGAGCCACGGAACCATCACTGCAGTGTCCCACCAAGCACAGAGGACAAGTCACCTCTTAGAGAAGCAACCCTAGGCAGCCTCCCATCTGGGGATGCATTGCCTGCTCCCACACAAGGTACTGCACTGGGGAATTCCTCTCTGACTCTTCCCGGCCATTACTAATCACTGGAGGCCCTAGGGAGGTAGACCTTAACATCAATCAGCAGTTCAAGTACAAGCAATCATGACAGCTATAAACAAAAATATTTGTAAGTGAATGTTTGAGTCACAGGGTAGTGGTGGTGCAACTGAGATAGGCTCCTGCCTTGAATTAGTTTGCCCAAACCTGTTTTTCAGCCCCATTTCTGAAGAACTCAGCATTTTAAAAAAAGCTGTTGATAAACTGAAACAGGTAGAAAAGAAACATTGAACCAATTCAGAGACTGAGGGAATTTATTTGTACTGATAGACTGAAAAGATGTCAAGGTAATTGAAAGGATCCTTGAAATCACTGGAAGGACCGAGACGTGATTTAACTTGAGTGAAAATACAGCTTTAAATAGAGAAAATACTAGGTTTCGGGGCTGTCAGATTTTTGTTCTAATTTTTCATATTAGAGTACATCTATTTAATATTTGCCTAATGATGAATTAAAGCCTGCCTTTTAAAAACAGTAAGAAGGACTAGCTCATAAATACAGTAGGTTTTCCATCCCTTGACATCACCAGGTGGAGACCAGATGCCCTTCATGAAGGTATCCTTTAAACAAACTGAAGTTACTGTGGTTCAGATAGGGATGACCTAAACATAATGGCACAAGACATGAAAGTTTTTGTCCCTGCCTTCAGTATCGTTCACGTATTTTAACCAACTACAGCCCACCTTACCCATCCCGAGGTGCACCCAGCACTCCCTTCTTGCAGCTGATGCCATAAACAGAGGCTGAAGCATCTTCTGACTTTTTATTTCTGCCCCCCCCCGCCCCCACACACATCATCTGCATTGTGAACCAAGTTTCAAAAAGAAACATGGAGGATGCCACAACACTGTTCAGTATAAACATGGAGAGGTGCCTATATACACCAATCTCAAGCAGACATAGACACCTGTATATGTCTGCACTTATAACAGAAGTAGGAGCTCCTGCACACCCATTTATATGCCATTGCCACGCTGCCTAGTGCTGCACAGCTCCCCAGTAGCATATAGACATTAGGGATCACTTTTCCAAAGCACCTTGGCAGACCTCCAGAGCTTAAACTCGAGATCTTGGACTTCATTCTGGCAGCCAAAAGAAAAAGTAGAATGTATTTAATTTTATTAAGAATCAAAGCCCTTCTCAGGATGCTGTAAACTGTCCTTGGCCAAGGACTGCAAGTGGGAAAAAGATCCTCCAAATCTGTCAGTATCCTGAAAGTTCTAAATGAGATGCCTGACCTGAGAATCGCTCTTCTTTTCTCCAGAAAGCCGCACGCAACCGCATTCTCTCTCAAAAAATATTCTGTGTCTAACCCAGAAAAAGCCAAATGCTTTTTTGGATTTG